CATGTAGAATCATTCAAGCTCGATATGATCAATCTTGCTTGTGGAGTGATTCGAATCTCAAACAAGTGTTTGAGATTACTTGATCAACAAGAATCATTGAAGCTAGACATGATCGATCTTGTTTCTGGAGTGATTCGAATCTCAAACAAAATGTTCTTTGCTTGAGATATTCGATCCACAAGGTAATCCGAATCTTACTCCCCTTGTAGTTGATTCCTTATCTTATCAGGTTTGATCAATACCACTTGAATGACTCTACATGCAAGTTCTAAACACAAGAATTTGCAAAGAAAGTTTAGCTCTTAACAAAGCTAAAATAGAAATTCTATTCTTAATTCCAAAATCTGATGTCTAATCAAAGAAAAGAAGGCTTTATATAGCCTTTACAACCTTAACCTATGTCATACATAACTCCCAAATTAAATGGGCTAGTAATGAGAAATACCCATAACCTCCATATTTAAATGGCTAGTTAATGGTGGAATATAGTAACCTATGTGGGTTACAATATAACCTTAACTCCTATATTTAAAACTAGTTTAAATATGACAAACAAATAGTTAAACTATAATTAAATAATGCAAATAATAAAATGTGCTTATTAGTCATCCTTGGACTATTTGATAAATTCAGCGGAGTTCATTAAATGCAACTTAAAACTTAAAGTGCATTTAATTCATCTCTTTCTTGAACCTCAACTTTGCACAACATATAAGGGAGGTCTCCAGCGTCTTCTAGAATTTCCTTTGATGAGCTCACCATAGCTTGAATATAACTGTATAAAGTTTGTTGTAGCTTCTTGGCTCTCGTCCTTGTAATTGGACCTTGAGGTATGGAAATTCCTTGGTCGTGGTTCATATCATTTGGTGTAGTGTGGAAAATGTTATAAGAAAGAGAGGATCAATTCATCTTAGGATCATGTATTCATGATAATGTACGACATAGAGACTAGTAAAGAGTTAACGAATTCATCTTGGGATCATGTATAAAAATGTGATTGATAAATATGATTTGGGGAGCCAAGTGATGAAATATGATGTAACACCCAAAAAAATAAAGGAAATTTGCTCCAATAAGAACCGGCACCCCATGTAAGATCCAAAGGATTCAAGAACTTGAAATTAAGAGGATCAAGCAAACAAGGACAAGAGTCTTAAGCAAGTCATTTCTACAAGGTTAGAAGTAATTTTAAGAATTTAAGGCGGTTGGACAAAGATGGGAAAGGAAAAAGTGGGCGAAAAGGGCAAAAAGGTCATTTTTTCAATTATCGAGGATCTTTCTCGATTTTTAATTCCTTATCTAGAAGGAATTTTAAGATGGTCGAGAAGGGTTGACAAGCAACATCAGGGATTAAGGATTTTAAGAAAAATTATGGATGTTTCGAGAAAAATAATAATAAAATATTCCGAATGTGACAAATTACCAAAAATACCCCTAACGTTCCACTTAATTACAAAACTGTAATTAAAGAAAATATGCAACCAGATTTGGTTCCAGAACCGTCGAGCAGAAGAAAATCAATCGTATATTCACTTCCAATCGTTGGATTGAGCTGCTATTTTGATACGTTTAACAAGACTCAAGGTTGTGTAGATCCAATGGTTAAAGTTGAAAACCAATGTCGGTAGCACCTTCATCGTTTTAGATACTTCAGCTTAAATTTTAGATAAATAAAAAATGAGAAAGTTCACCACAATTCTAGAACAATCAATGGCAGTGCAAGCTTGATCTATAAATAAGAAGTTATGGGCAATGTTTCAAGACAAGAATCGAGTGATGATTCCTAAAATTCGAGTTTGAAGCTTTTAGATTATGGATTTGTCTTCCTCAAATTTCTTCTAAATTCGAGGGTTGTGGTTAATCATTTTCCATCCTACCAACTCCTACACATTCCATATGGGATTTCCAACGAGTTTCGTGAAGGAATTGGGCAATGAAAAGCTCTAGAATCGGCTGTCCCGAAAAAAGATGAGAAACATATTTTCCGGCAAACTTTGGAAGGTTATAACTCAAGCTACAGACCACAACAAGATATGAAATTGGCTCATACTTCTTCCTTAAAACTTCATCTAAACATTTTGTGAAGAAATTTATCCCATTAGAGGTGTATATAGAGCTAACAAAGGCAAAACATGAGGAGTATGATAAGGAAAAATCGTGATTTTTCCAGCAACAAATGAAGAAGATGAAGTCCAAAGTCAAAGGTCAAACTTTGACCAATAAAAGTAAAAGTAGCCATATGTTGACCTTTCTACACTTTTTGATCGATTTGGACCCCTTTCAGGTCGGTTCTCATGAATTTCTTTATGGTTACTGAAACTAGACTCAAAGAGGAATCTAGTAAAGATAATTCGGAATAATTCCGAAACCGAAAGCTCAAGAATTGGAAGTCCCGAACACAGATGACTGTAAGTAGCCACCTCGGACTTTTCTTAAAAAATACTTGTTGGAATCGCTTGGATTTCCACATGAATCCTAAACCAAGTATGGATTAAGGATATATAAAAGAAAAACTCAAAGACCATGAGTTAAAGCACTGAACCAATCAAATTGCTCGGGATTGAAGTAACATTAAAATAACAAACTAGATGAACTTTGCTGCCTATGAAATTTTAATGCTGAGCATATTATAGCATGTGGAGGTTATATATGAAATTTGGTGGTCATTGGATAAGGATAGGTAGGTAAACAAAGAAATGGTGCAAAATGACCATATTGCCCCTAAGGATGTCTACCTACGGTTCATGACCTAGAGGACCTACAAATGTCTGGTGATGTGGAGAAGTTTGAAAGCCATTGGAATAAGGTAAAATGACCAAAACGCCCCTAGGACTACTTATTTAAATTCAAGGTCTATACGTCCTCCAAATGACTTGCTACTTCTTATAAGGCCTATTCCTAAAGATAACAAGGCATCAAGAGTTCAAGTTGATTAGAGCAAGCTTGGAACCTAAAGCAAGTTAGTCCCAAAGAAGCACCTAAAGGAAACACCTCAAGACTCAAGACTCTTCTTGAACCCTCTAAGGAATTCATTATAAATCTATGACCTTGTAGAACAACTAATGCTTGTTATTACGATGGATTCATATGTTTACGGATGCAACTTATGCCTCAAGGAATTATGAACATTGGAAACTTACAAGATTGAGAACCAAGAACAATACCATACACGCTCTACAACTACCAAAGCAAGAAGAATGCTAGGTACCAATCAAGGATAAGGGGACCAAGGTCCTAAAACTCGAAAACTCAAGAAAAAAATCATATGACCTCCCACGGTACAACATGTTCTTGACTCAAAATACGCTGTAAGTATTCAGATTATGCCGCTTGGGATGCATGAAGTCTTGGGCATAGGTATTCATGTTGTAACATAGGGCAAGCACTGGGTACAGGATTTCAGACTACGCTTCTTGGAACGCTTGAAGCCTTGAGCGTAGGTATTCAGACTATGCTGCTAGGAGCGCATGAAGCCTTGGGCATAGGTATTCAGACTGTATCATAGAGCAAGTCCTTAATGCAGAATTAGACTACATCATTTCTTACGTAAGAAGCCTTGGATGTAGGTTTTCAGACTATGTTACTTGAAATGCATGAAGCCTTAGACAGGTTGGAAAAAGAGATAGTGAAAGAGATAAGAATGATAAAATAGATGAATGCTGCAGTGCTTTATTATTGTCTACTGACTCGATGCATAGAGGGTTACACAATTCTAGTATTTATAGCTAATACACTGGACCAGAAATAGTAAATCATGCAAATCTAGATAAATTCAAATCTACTGACAATCTCCTAAAATCTTGGTAGTTTGAATATCTGAATCATATCTCAACTACTTCTTGAATACTCTGAATCATATCTCAACACTCCCTCTTGATTCAAAGTTGCAGATGTCAAGTACAGAGCTTTTCTTTTGACTAAACCATAGAACAGTGTGACGAGTCCGTTCGAAGTGTTCGAATTCAAATTAGGGAATATGCGTTACATATATACGATATGTTTAACCGCATTTTTGTTTTATTTACGAATTAAACAAAAAGAGAGAATCTAAGATATTTAAATAAGATTTAAATATCTTAATCAATTATGTGTTGGAATTGATTGGGATTGGCTTTTGAATTAATATTAAATATTAATTAAATAGTTTAATTAATCATTTAATGTTACTTTAATTTGAAATTCATTATTCAAATAAGAAAGTCAAAATGTTGACTTCATTTAATGAAAAAATCCATGTTAGTGGAATTTTGAGGTGTCAAAATTTGGTTTAACCAAACTTGCATGCTTGCCAAATAAACCCCACAAGTTTGAGTGGAATTTTGAGTGTCAAAATTTGGTTAACTCAAACATGGATGCATGCCACATAATCCCAAACATTTGAGTTGAATTTTAAGTGTTAAAATTTGGCGATCTCAAATTTGCATGAACATGCAAACATGACTCTTTAAATAGAGTGATCATGGTGCATGAAAGATCTTCTTCTTCTTGGTGAAAAACCTTGAGAAAAACCTCTCACAAACACTCTCTTATCATATACAAAATCCCTCCCAAGTTTAGCCACTCACCGGATTCCACAATCCCGTTCTAAGGTCGGAGGATAGTGGAGAAGACACTAGGGTGGGTTCGAATCCGGTTCGTGAGGAAAAAAGAGTTTTAACTACAAAAGATTAGTATTTAAACTCATTAAGTTTTAATACTTGTGAACATGCTAATTATTTACTATAATTGATGTTCTAAAAGTGCCTAAGATCCAAATTGCTTCCGCATTTGTTATATTAACACCAACATGCATAACAAAGTTAAATATTTTAGTTATCAATTTATGTTTGGATGAAGCGAGGGAGATGAATCCATAACTTCTTTTAGTTTCATCCCAACTTGATTCCTAATTTTCAATTTGTATTAGATACATAAAAAGTTCCAAATCTAAAACCAAATATCATTGTCTCTCACTAGTTTTCAAAGAATATACATAAAAAATATAAGAAAGCAGAGGCAGCATGAGTACGATCAAATCGAGTTTCTTGGCTGCTACAATTTTGATGTTACTATTGTTATCTCTTACCGTCGATGCTCAATCTAGTGTCGATGTTGTTTGTCCTTTTACAAGATATGGTAACATAGTGTCTGGTACTGACATCAGGAAGGTAAATATACAATATGAACATCACTATTATCACTGGTTGAATTGATCAATTGTTTGCTATAATTTTTGTAACTTGAGAAATGTAGACTTTAGCAAATGCATGGAAGGATGCATGCACGTCCAATCGTTCTAGTGCAATTTTTATTCCGAGAGGGATATTTAAAGTAAAGCAAGAGAATTTTGAAGGACCTTGTAATAGCCCAATTGACTTTCAACTTGGAGGAACATTGCAGGCACCAAAAAGTGTCCAGGGAGATAATTGGATCACTTTTGCCCGTGTTGATAGATTGACATTATCAGGTGAAGGAGTTTTTCATGGCCAAGGAAAAGCAGCTTGGAAAAGGAATGATTGCCACAAACGCATAAATAGTGCCCAACTCCCCGTTGTAGGTAATATGCCTTCAGCTTTCCTTCTCAATCTCATGCATCTTGTTGTTTTTTTAAAGGGCCTCTTACATGTCTTCTCTAATGTTTTGACATTTATAATTTGGTAAGTGTTCTTCATTTTTTAGAGGATAATCTTTCAACAATCAAGTGAAAAGTGAATCTTTTTTTTGTTTTCAATTTCATTGGGTTCTGTCCAAATTTTTAGCTTCATTACCGAGCCTCACAAAATAATATTTGATTATACAAAATGTTTAGAGTTTGAGGTTCAACTTCATCACCAATTCAACCGTTAAGGGAATAACATCACTTGATAGCAAGAACTTCCATATCAACGTCCTCGGCTGCAACAACCTCACGTTCCATAATATAAATATAGCTGCACCAGAAAACAGTCCCAACACTGATGGAATACACATCGGTCGATCAAATAAGATCACAATCACAAAGTCCAAAATAGCAACTAGAGATGATGCATTTCTCTTGGAGATGAAAGTAAAGTAATTGAAGTCACCAACGTGACATGCGGGTCAAGACATGGAATAAGCATCAGAAGTCTTGGAAGATACACTAACGAAGAACCTGTTAGTGTCACCGTAAAGAACTGCACGTTAGTTAACACCACTAATGGTGTCAGGATCAAAACGTGGCCAGCTTCTGCTGCTAGCGGCACCGCCACCAATATGCACTTTTTGGACATTATAATGCTCAATGTTAGCAACCCTATTCTAATTGACCAACAGTATTGTCCGTGCAATCGGCAGGTATTGATCGCATTCTCGAACCTTTGATTCATTTTTTCACTATAACTTCACAAATAAACCAATTGTCGTCTCATTTTAATTTTCAGATTCCTTCAAAAATTAAGATTAGCACAGTGAGCTTCAAGAAGATTAGAGGAAGTTCTGCAACTCCGCTGGCAATCAAACTTATTTGCAGCCATCACTTACTATATGACGATGTAAAAGTAAGCAACATTGACCTCACTTACAATGGAATAAAAGGTCCTATTTCCTCCCAATGCGCGGATGTGAAACCCATCATTTCAAGAAGACAGAACCCCAAGATATGCTCCTCTCCTTATGTTGTCCGATGAATTGTTCATTGTCATAGAACTTCAAAATAAGAGACAACCTTAATTAAAAAAGAAGACTGCCTCTATCCATTTGGCTCTCATTCTTTTGAGTTTCTTTTGTTGTACTTTTAGAAATAAATAAGATGGTCGAATGTTTGAAGGAGACTTTGTGTCGCGAACAACCTAATGTTTCTAGTACAGCGACCTCATACAATAAAATGGCTTCAGTCTTGTTTTTCATTTTAGATTTGGATTCCAAAAATTTGAGTGGAATGTTGAGTGTCAAAATTTGGTGATCTCAAATTTGCATGAACATGCAAACATAACTCTATAAATAGAGTGATCATGGTACATGGAAGGTCTTCCTTGGTGAAAAACCTTGAGAAAAACCTGTCATCAACACTCTATTCATATATACAAAATCCCTCCCAAGTTTAGTCACTCACCGGATTCCACAATCCCGTTCTAAGGCCGGACGATAGTGGAGAAGACACTAGTGGTGGTTCGAAACCGGTTCGTGAGGAAAAAGAAATTTGAACTACAAAAGGTTAGTATTCAAACTCATTCCGTTTTAATACTTATGAACATGCTAGTTATTTACTATAATTGATGTTCTAAAAGTGCCTAAGATCCAAATTGCTTCCGCATGTGTTATGTTAACACCATCAATTTAAACGTTGTGAATATTAATGATGATTGCACTTTCGATCCCAATTTAGTTTCTCATTCTTAACATTGTATCAAAGCACCGATCTTGGTGTTCTTAAATATCATTATTTCTTTATGGCGGAATCAGTTCAAATCCAGCTTCAAAATTTCGGATGTTGACATAACACATCTTTATTATAATCATCACTCTGATCAGCCAGGATATTCACTTGTTCCAATCAATTTAAATGAACAAATCACCAATCCTGGTGTAAATCAGTTATGCATCCTCTTATTGCCAAAAAGAAAATTGGCTTCATTGATGGCACTATTGAAGAACCGTCTCAAGATGCAAATTCAACCGAATTTGAACTCTAGAATCAGTGCAACAATATGATATTATCTTGGTTAACTCATTCAGTTGAAGTAGATATCACTGATGAAATTATTCACGCCAAGACAGCTCATCAAGTGTGGGTTGATCTTCACGATCAATTCTCACAAAAGAATGCTCCAGCAATTTTTTAGATACAAAAGTCGATGACAATGATGTCACAGGGAACCATGGCACTCTCAGCATATTTCACCAAGGTCAAAGCACTCTGGGATGAATTGGAAGCGTACCGCATGTTGAACACAACTCTCTATGGGAAACACTCGCACTCTTTATTAAGACCAATCGAGAAGAAAATGCAAGACACTTTGTAGAATACTAATACTTTATAATGCTTGGGATTTCTTGGGATGAAAAAATAGGTAGGGTCGAGGGGTATTTGTACTGTACCCTACGCAATCTAGACCTAACAAATGTAAATCTTTTTTCGTAAAATATCGAGATCTCTTTCCTAAAATATCTAGTATCTTTTCTAAAATCTCTACTAAAATAAATACAAATGGGTTTGTACAATTATTGGGCTTGACTCTATTGGGCCAGTGATGATATTTTAACACTCCCCCTCAGAACTAGTCCTCAATCGCGGTACCATGTTAAGCTGACAGAGAAAACTCTCATGTTTGCCCGTATTCGGCTCTTTTGTAAACAAGTCTGCCACTTGGTCATTTGTCTTGATCTGCTACATCTCGATTTCTTCCTTTAGGACCTTCTCTCTAATGAAATGGTACTGCACCTCCATGTGCTTTGATCTCGCAATTTTCTGCTAGGCGAATTGCAGATTGGTTGTCGCAATGAAGTGATATTGGATACTCAATTTTTTGGTGCAAATCTTCCATCAAGAGTTTCAGCCATGTACTTTCTTGAATTGCTCCAGTCGCTGCTCTATACTTTGCTTCTGTAGTTGACAATGATACTGTTGGTTGTCTCTTGCTACACCAAGAAATTGTTTCCGAACCAAACTTGAACACATACCTAGTGGTTGACCTCCGAGTATCCTGGTCTCATGCATAGTCAGCATCACATTATCCAACTAGCTTGCAGTCTTTGTTTCTTTTGTACAAAAGACCATAGTCGATTGTACCTTTGACATATCTCAAGATCCGTCGAGTTGCATCCAAATGAGGCTTCTTTGGACTTTGCATGTACCGACTCATAACCCCAACTGCAGAAGAAATATCAGGCCGAGTTAAAGTTAGGTAGAGTGCATTTTAAGCACTCTACATAGAACACCAATTAAACTGCTGTTTATCTTATAAATAGACACCCTTTGAAGCACTCTACAAACGACCACCTACATTTCACCATCTTAAAGTTTTTTGTTGCAAGTGTTATGCATCTGTAGTACACACCCTAAGCAAAAATTTGAACCTCGGGCAATTTCTTGTGTTTTTGTAGGATATCCTTGTGGTCACAAAGGTTACAAGTTGTATGACATGCAATCTAAAATTTTTCTTATCAGTCGTGATGTTAAATTTTGTGACACTGATTTTCCTTTTTCATCAGCTTCAAAAACTTTGACATTAGCTCCTTCAACTCCCATTTTACCACTTCATGATTCATCCTACTCAAACATCCATTCTAGTCCTCCCCCACTTTCTATTCCTTCTCCCACTACTTCGTCGTCTCCTCCACCTTCTATTCCTTCTCCAGATTCACCCACTAATTCTAATCTTATCCCACCTGATACATCAGTTCCACTCCGAAGTTTTACTCGTACAAAACGGCCTCCAGCTTGTTCTAATAATAATAAGATGTCTTTTGGAGCTAATCATTTAACCTCTAACTCAAGTCCCAACATTGTCACCAGGTATCCCCTTCATGATTACTTTTCATTCTCTCGTTTTTCTCCTACTCAACGAGCTTTTCTAACTCTTATTACAGCCCAGACAGCCCAGTCCTTACATATGATGACCAGATAAAAGCCTCGTTGGGCTAGGCCATGAAACACTATGAAAATTAGACTCGGTGAAGAACCCGAACGACCATAACATAAAATTAATTTTCATATTATAGTTTTACTTTTTTTTAATTCAAAATTTTAGAGTGCAATAACCCAGAATGAGTTTCAATAATATATTTTTCAATTTAAAAAATAACAATTATCAATCACGATTCTATTTTTATTATAAAATATTTTACAACAGTAAAAAAAAAATAATAAAATAAAAGAATTAATTAATAATAACTAATCCCTTCCCACCCCCAAACTCGCATAACTACTGCCCTAAAATACTCAACGAACTCCTTCTCACAAAACCATATGTTACAAAAAGAATAAAAGAAAGAAAGAACTAGAAATACAAACAAATGGGTTAGTTTATTTATTTATTTTTGGGTTATTAGGGATCAACTGTTATCTTCCATTACACTCTTTTTCAACTATAAAGAGTGAAACAAATCAAGCACAAATGTGTTCATACCCATCTCTTTTTCTCTCCCACTTCAACCGCATGAGTTTACTTTCAACACTTGCACTTTCTCTCTTAATTTCATTGTTCTTTGCTAACCAAGTGACTACCATCCAAGGATCATTCCTCCAAAACCCAAATATTATGGTCAAGATAACAAATGCTCTAAAATCTAAAAATCAGCTCGCTGTTCACTGCAAATCTGGCAATGATGACTTGGGAGTCCACAAGCTGACACCTTGGGCCAGCTACGACTTCAGTTTTCGTCCAAATTTATGGGGCACGACATTGTTTTACTGTTCCTTCCAATGGCCTAGCTCGTTTCATTACTTCAATGTCTACATAGATAAGAGAGATAGAGATAATTGTGAAAGTATTCTTTGTTCGTGGCATATGAGTGAGGAAAATGTCTGTATGTTCAACTATAAAACCGATAATTATGATATTTGCTACAACTGGTCGGGCAAAAAATCCATCTATC